TTATATATATATATATATATATATATAAGCCAAAAGAATAGTCGCACTAGTAAAAGTAAAGATAAAAGCAAAGTTAAATGTTTTAAATGTCAAAAATTCGGTCATTATGCGTCTGAGTGTAAAGTTAAAGATACTATTAAACAATTAAAAATCACTAATGAAGATAAAGAAAAACTGATAAAAGTTTTAGAGTTGCGAGACTCTGAAGCTAGCCACACTGAGTCCTTAGTTGCCAGTTCTGAGTCCAAGTCTGATCAGTTTTCAGATTCACAGTTAAGTTCACCCACAGTTCAAATTGGTTACACAGATAAATGTTGTAACAGGTTAAAGTCTATTTCTGTTCTTACTAAGCAGGAAGAACAGGAAGAGTTGTTAATAGACTTAATAAGCCGAGTTGAAAACCCTGAGTTAAAATCTGAATATTTGAAAAAATTAAGAAAAGTCATCAGTCAGGAAAGCCCGAGTTCTTCCATCCCTCAACCGATAATTTTAAATACTACCTTAGAAAAGTTTAATAGAAAGAAAGAAGTTACCCTACAAGATTTACAGTTAGAAGTAAAAATGGTAAAAAAGGAAATAGTTGAGTTAAAACAGGTAAGTCATAAGTTGCAAACTGAAAATTATACGATTAAACAGGATCTAGTTCGCCTCCTAGAAAAGGAATCTTCTGAGTCTAGAAGCCAGTCAGGTAGTCCTCATCATTCCGATGACGAACCACCTAAACAAGCCGTAAATTTAATCCGCCAAGTTAACTTTAGAAAATGGTATTCTAAAGTAACTATATTTGTTCAAAATTTTGAGTTCACTACAGTTGCCCTATTTGATTCAGGAGCCGACCTTAATTGTATTCAGGAAGGTCTAATCCCCACCAAGTACTATCAGAAGTCTAAGGAATCCTTAAGTACTGCTTCAGGTAAATCCCTTCAGTTGAATTACGAAATCCCAAAAGCTCATGTATGTCAAAACAAAGTCTGTTTTAAAACCTCATTTGTCTTAGTAAAAAACATTACTGACGAAGTCATTTTAGGTTTACCTTTCATCTCTTTGTTGTATCCTTTTCAGGTAGATTATGATGGCGTCATATCCACCTACTTAGGAGAACAAGTCAAGTTTGAGTTTCTTTCTAAGCCTGAGATACATAATCTGAGAGCCTTACAGAAACAGTTCGTCTCTAAGTCTATCCAGGTTATTAGAAAAGTCAAACAGCTGAATTTTCTGAAAGAAGAAATTAAGTTTAAAAGAGTTGAACAACAATTAAGTAATGAGTCTTTACAGTTGCAAATCCAACAATTTGAAAATAAGTTGAAGAATGAAATTTGTTCTGATTTGCCTAATGCTTTCTGGTATAGGAAACAACACGTTGTCAATCTCCCCTATATCAAAACCTTTAGTGAGAAAAATATTCCCACTAAAGCTAGGCCGATCCAAATGAGTCAAGAGATAATGGAATTTTGTAAGAAAGAAATCCATGAGTTGCTTCAAAAGAAAATGATCCGTAAGAGTAAGTCTCCCTGGTCGTGTCCTGCTTTTTATGTCCAGAAAAACGCTGAACTAGAAAGAGGAGTCCCCATACTAGTTATCAACTATAAGCCCCTTAATTCGGTCTTAGAATGGATTAGGTACCCCATACCCAATAAACGAGACCTAATTAACAGATTAGAAAAATCAGTTGTCTATTCTAAGTTTGATATGAAAAGTGGTTTCTGGCAAATCCAAATAGATGAGTCAGATAGGTATAAGACTGCATTTGTTACTCCTTTCGGTCATTACGAATGGAATGTCATGCCGTTTGGTTTAAAAAATGCTCCTAGTGAATTTCAAAACATCATGAATAAAATATTCAATCCTTATAGTCATTTTTCTATTGTCTATATTGATGATGTTCTTATCTTCTCTGAGTCTGTAAAACAACATTGGAAACACTTGCATAAGTTCCTCCAGATTGTCAAACAGAATGGTCTAGTTGTCTCAGCCAAGAAAATCAAGTTGTTTCAAACCAACATTCGATTCCTTGGTTTCAATATATGTCAGTCGCAAATTTCTCCAATTGATCGAGTCATCCAATTTGCCGATAAGTTTCCTGATCAGATCCTTGATAAGAGTCAATTACAGAGGTTTCTAAGATCCCTCAACTATGTTTCTGACTTCTACCAAAATCTGAGAAAACAATGTAAGCCCCTTTTTGATAGGTTGCAGAGTAATCCTCCACCATGGTCAAACATCCATACAGAAGTTGTCAAACAGATAAAAGCTCATGTCAAGACTCTTCCCTGTCTTGGCATACCTTCGGTTGATTTCTTCAAAATAGTTGAAACTGATGCCTCTGACATAGGATATGGTGGCATTCTTAAGCAAAAAGCCTGTCCAAATTCTCCATAACAGATAGTTCGTTTCCATTCCGGTGTTTGGACTCAGTCGCAGTATAATTATGGTACTATTAAAAAAGAAATATTAGCTATTGTATTATGCATTAGTAAATTTCAAGATGATTTACTAAACCAAAAGTTTTTAATCCGAGTTGATTGTAAGTCTGCAAAACATGTTTTAGAAAAAGATGTCCAGAACATTGCATCTAAACAGATTTTTGCACGATGACAAAGTATTTTGAGCATATTTGATTTTGATATTGAATACTTGAGAGGGAGTGAGAATTCCATTCCTGATTTTCTTACAAGAGAGTTCTTACAGGATACACAATGGCACCCAAGAAAGATAAGCAGAAAGAGTCCGCCAAAAAGTCAACCGAGTCAGTTGCCCAACCAAAGTCGTCCCAGTCGCTCAGAATCCTCCCAGCTTCCATGAGCCAGAATAAGCCTGAGTCTCCCCAACAAATAGTTCTTTTTCGTGGTTGCACCCCCATCCGAGTTACCTCGCCAATTTCAGTCGCCAATAAGTTCTCCGCCTTAGCTCAACAGTTGGTCAAGTCGGTCCTAGTTACAAGTCAACATTAGTCTCCAGTTATGACCCGTTTGCAGGTCCTTCAGTTGCTTTCAAAAAGTCATCCCCCTATCTGCCTAAGAGTAACTCCCATTTATTTATAATTGAGCCAAATTATGATATTAATTCTGATCCAGTTGCCATTGCTAAGCATTATTTTCCTCCTGGTTTCCATTATATGCCTCCCAGTCCGTATAAGTCCCTCAAGTATTATAGAGATATATTGCTTGAGACCCAATCAGTTGAAATCAAGCCAATAAGGGATCAAGATCATCCTGAGATCATCCTTTATCATTCCCTCTATATACACAGAGTCATAAGCGAAAAGTCCTTCAGTAGCCATCCTTACCAGTTGAAAACCTTCAAGTCGTCAAAATTACAATATAATTATTTCGATTATATTGAAACCTGGTACACTATCTTCCTCCACCAGTCCGAGGATTTTAGCCATTCCTGGTTCATTAATTTTGACAATAAGTTTAAAAGTCCTTTTCCCTTCTGGTTCCTTCATTGGTGGGAAAAGCATGGCCCAATTGATGAAATTCTCCCAGTTGCAGTACTTGCGCTCATCCACCATTTTACCAGTAAAGCCAAGTTCACAAAAGTTGATTTATTTTTTCCTAAACAAATGTTATTTCTTGCTCGGTACAAAGTCCCCTAGATTCTCAAATGGACTTACAGGGTCACCATTGATACCAGAGTTCTCGCCCGCCAATTCTCTGTCAAGTGGTGGGATAAATTTGAAGTTGACAGAATTGCCAGATATGTTTACAATGATCTTCCAGTTGATCCAGTTCCGCGCCCTGTTCCGGTTCCGGTCTCTCCCACTGGATCCGTCACATCTGCATATTCAGTTGAAGGAAAATCCAAAGCTGATATCAGAGAAATTGCCCTTCAGTTGCTGCATCAAGCCTCTCAAATGGATGATGATGAGGACACTGATTCTCCCTCATCGTCTAGCTGCCAGCCCATGCAAGAGCCAGAACCAGATAAGCCCAAGCCCAAGAAGAAGTCTTGGTATGAAGACAGCCTGTATGAAGGCAGTCAACAGCCATATGATGCCTACGACTTTGGGTCTGACTAAGCCAGTTGCCGACACAAGCTAGTTGCCGACACAATTATTGCCCCGGAGGACATGATTGAAGCATCCTACAAAGCAGCTGCCCTGCTTTCCTGTGACGCTCCAGTCCTGATTCCCCGACAGTTCACCAAAGTTAAAGCAAAAGTCGCCAGAGTAAAAGAAAAAGCAAAAGTTGCCTCGACATTTCACCACAAGTAAAAGTTGCCGAAAGAGAAGTAAAAGCAAAAGTCGCTTGAAGACAAAATTGAAAGCTGAATCAGGTTATCCCCATGCTCTCATTATTGCCTTCACCATCCGAGTTACTTTCGGTTACCCTAGTTACTTTCTAGGTAACCATAGTTGCCCCCCCTCTATATAAGTTGGCTTCGGCCTCAGTTGTAAGCAGAATACAATTTACATTTCAGTTTTTAAAAGATTCTCTCTAAACCATCTTAGAGAAATCATCTTTGTAAACACTGAGAGTTTGTATTCGAGAGTTGCCCTAGTTGCTGTTGTGAAAAACCCTTTGTGAGTATATAAATAAAATTACTATTTTCAGTCATCTCTATTTTAATTAAGTTCATATAAGCATTATTTTAATTGCACTATTTGCCTGCATTGCATTTGTTTTTGTATCCCTCAAATAATTTTATTTGAGGGACGCCCATTAGGGTACCCTACAATTTTTTTCCTAATGATCCAAACCGTCTATTTTTTAGATCTTCGTTCATAGATCATCCTTATAAAAAATTAGACAAATTGGAAACCGTTTCAACATCCAATTGTGTCTTACAAAATCAATGAACACGGTGCTTCAAGAAAGTACTAAAATTTCAATAACTCAATCGAGTGGTCAAATGATATCGGATTCAAGTGATTTTTTGTAGAGATGATCTTTGAATGAGTATCTACAAAATAGACGGTTTGGATTAGTGAAATACAATCCGGAGTGGGGCCTATAAGGGGTGTCCCTCAAATAAGCTTATTTGAGGGATCCCTCAATGGAAGCTCTCTGTATATATATGTATAAGGAATGCGCCAACAACTCCTAGGGACTTTAAACTTTCTTCATTATCAAAACCGATCCTCCAATCCAATAGATCAGATCAGATTATATTTAAACATCTAATATAATTGAATCGGATTGAAAAAATCACAATCCAATCTATTTTGGATCAAGTGCAAATGGACTAAATTATATTGGTTTTGAACTAGTGTACACCCCTAATCGTTCTGTGGTGAGAGTGCCATATATGGACTATAGATGTGGACCTTCATATTAGCTACAAGATTTATCTGAATAGTAACTTCATTTATGTTTAATGAATTTCGCAACAATGTTAACAAAACCAGGGGAAATAACCTAAGATAAAACGAGGCCCAAAATACTACTACCACTACTTCTAGCATCAATATTATGAAGATATCCTAATTCATTTAATTTGGAGAAAGAAACTCAAAATCATCTATTTTATCTCTACTATTATAAAGTCAGTCCAAAAGCAGTTGTGGTTACATGCTTTTGATTTTAGTTTTTTTTCGCCTTTGATTTTAGTTTTCTGCAGGAAACTGTAGATCCAAATATCTGTTTGGCTTCCAAGAAGCTGAAGGAAAAAAAAAAATCAAAATAGTTAAAAGGTTCAGTCTGATTGCATTGTTGTTATTTCTTCATAAATTATAACATGTGAAAGGGCTTATATGTTGTGATTCAAAGACTAGCTTGCTATATTGTTTGTTTTCTTCTATTGTTTTGTAGGATTTTGGGGAAGAGATAGAATGCCGTCGTCGTCATGAATGTTGTAGGGGAGCATATGAAGTCCTACTGCCTGCTACGTATAATTGATTTACAAACGTGTATGCCATTACCAGTAAAGAAAAGGAAACAATCATGTAGCTTTTCTTTTCTTAATTTTAGACTTTACAGATATGTTTTTTTCATTAAGAATTGATTGATCTGTTATTTTTGTTCATTTTTCTCTTTAGTTATTTTTTTTTCCCCATTTAGTATTGTACTTGCAAAGAAAGCAATTGAAGTGTACTGTTTAACCATAACTTTACAATACTACATAACATTAGAGCATTCACAATTTTTTTTTGGGGGGGGGGTGTATTTTCGGGGGTGTAAAGTCACTTTTACATCCCCTTTACACCACCAGGGGGTGTAAATACGCTTTTTGCTTTACTGGGAAACAATGTAAATCCAAAGATGCATATTCGATTTGTTTGTGATAATTCTTTTTTGTGTGTTTTTTTTTTGGTATGTTTTAACTTTTTAAAATTAATTTTGTGCGTGTTATATTTATTTTATTTTTTAAAATAAATGGACCTAAAAAAAATTAAATTTGGAGAACATATTATTTTACCTACAAACTAACATAAAAATATCAATGTAGAAATCTGGGTCATTGGAAGTGCATGCAAATTGCATGAAATCTAGGCCTTCCATTTTGAATTCCAATCATTCTCTTTCCATTTTTCTCTTGTAGGTCCCGCTTGTAGAGGATGTAAAAAAACATGCAAATGTGCATCCTAATTTTATATCTCCATGGTGAAAGTGTATTTTTACAACCATTTACATCTTCTTATTGGAGATGTTTACGGCGACAAAGAGTGTATATTTAACATACACCCCCTTATACACCCTCCCATTGTGGATGCTCTTAGAACCTTAACCCATTTGCAAATAATCTTTAAGCAGCGTGCAGTGCCAATAAAGGCCAATAACGTGCGCCGGAGTGGGAGAGGCCAATGTCTATAAAATAAACTTACAAAACCATAATATTTGGACTTCGTATTTAGCCGCTATATTTCTAGAGTGTAGCAGGCAACCATCCATTATTAATTATGGCCTTAATAATGGGCAACCATTTTCTCAAATCTGGTCTTGGATATGGGCCACTAGGTTCCTAACCACCATAACCGAGAACTTATCGACAAGTGGCAGTTTGATAGAATCTGGTATCGATCTCTAACCGAGAGAGTATCATGTTTAACGAAAAGTCGGTTGGATTGAATTTCTCGATCTATTGGACTCGTTGAACCGACATTCTCGGTTGGTTGGATCGATATCTTTGGAATTGGTTTGTGCTTAACCACTGTTGAGGCCCAAAAAAAATCCACGGTTCGGCCCAAATGAATTCCCAGTCTAGTGCAATGCCTTATTAAGAATAAACCCAAATTGAGTATGCAAGAGTTCATCATATGCGCTTGCAAACGTGCCATGCTACAAGCTTAACTGGGCCCAAGTCACGCAAATGCCTGGGGGCTTGCTAAGCGGGTTGTGGTATGGATGGTTACGAGTTTTCATGAGGCCTATTGATGAGCAGAGAAATGAAAGTTTTGGGTTGTTTAGGAGCCCTGAAACTCAAGCCCATTTCTTGAGCCCAAATATGTGGGTAAGCATAAAGGGGAGAAAATAGTCCATTACCTTAGAAAAGATAGCTCATCACTTTGGGAAGTTGGCTCATCCCTTTAGTGAACTAGCTCATTACCTTAAAGAATGGCCCAAGTGACCAACAAAATATTTGAAAGTCTCCAGCACATAGTTGAAGACAAAACCGTGACAAAAGCCAAAAGTCACTCACATTTGCAGGCTGCTGGAAATCTCCAGCACATGGCCAAAGACAAATCCCAACACAAGACATCAAAAAACCAAGGGATACTTGACCAAAACACCTTTCAAACTAGTGTACATACCCATTGCTTTCCCCCCCATCAGATCTAGCCATAGAAGTGGGGAGAAAAGAAGGAAGAAATATGGCTGAAAATGAGAGTTCTCCACTGAGGCAGCTGCGGGAAGAGTATTGAGCTCCCAAAAATCCCTGATTTTATGAGATTGGGCAGAGAAGATCTTGCCAGAATAAGATAAGTCAAAAGAAGGGAAGATAAAATAAGGAAAAAGCTTGGCCAAATTGGATAGAAACCATTAGGATTTCTTGGAAAATGATAGCTTCCAGCGGCTACAAAAGAGGCCTCTTCTACCCAACAAAAAACAACCTACATCTAGAGATCAAGCTTCATCTCTCATATTTGAAACTCTGCAATTTCGTGCCCTATTCCTCTATCTTCTCCCATTTTCTCTTATGGCAAGCCATTCCAGAGTTTGACATAGCTTTTGTTAGGCTACTGGAAAATTACTCATAACACCCAATACTTCACCACTAGCCACAACCACAACTAGATAGCAAGCTTCATGTCTTACTTCCAAAACCCAACAATTTCGTGCTCAGTTCATCTTCCTCCTTCTTAGTTTTCTCTCTTGGCAGACTGTTTTAACACTTGACAGAGCCTCTATCAAGCTGCCGGAAAAACACTCATTGCCCTCATCTCTCTCCCTCTCTCTCTCCTCAACGAATCCTCTTAGAATCCCTTCCCCCATGCCTTAAAAACTCTATTTCTCATAGGAAATTGCAACCATTTCTCTCTCTCTCTCTCTCTCTCTCTCATGCTAAACTCATGAATGCTTAGCTCCCATGCCACAAGCTTTTCATGCCAAACCAAGAATTTATTTGTAAGCTGTTGTTATTTTTGTTGGTAAAGGTAACCAAGGTGTTTCCTAAGCCCTCACTATCCTTTCGAAGCATTCTTGGGGCTTGATCTTTGAACTCAGGCACAGGGAATAACTTCATCAGTTCGCTCCTTACGGCAGCCCAACCCATTTGTAACTGCGGGAAGAAAAAAGCCCCTACAACCACAAATATCCAATTTTGGAGCTATCTGTTTTATGAGAAATTGGTAGCTATCTATTTTATGTCTATAAAATAAACTCTCTTTTTTTGGGTCCAAAATCTATAAACTAAACTTACAAAACCATAAACAATTACAACTCACAAGTTATAACTTCTAACACGCAACAAATAAATAAATAACACAGCAATATAATGAAGCTATACCTTTTTAAGTAAGAGGAACACAAACTACAATAAGCAACCCCCAATTCTGATTTTCACAACCCCAAACTGAAGCCACTGCCAAAATACATAAATTAGATTACAATGAAGCATTAAAAACCATACTTCAAATCAAATTGAAACACTAATTTAAAACCCGAAACCCCCAATTGGATCTTCATCTTTTTTTTGTTTTTTTGGGTAAATATCATGAGGTGTCCCCACACTCGAAAGGTAAGATTAATTCTCACTCGGGATTCGGCTTGCCCCTGGCCAAAAAGTGCTTTTAATGGATTTCGAACCTCTGCCATTAAGGCATTAGGTAGCTCACCAGTTGGAGATGTCAATTTTCCAACCCCACCACACCTTGTGGTTATCTGTTTTATTTGTTTGTTATTTAAAACCCGAAATTTGATCTTCCTCTTTTTTATTTGTTTGTTTAGCACTCTGTTGCATAATTTACTTTCCATTGTACTTTTTTCTTTCATAAAAAAAATGTCAAATTAGACTTCATTAACATTGCCCAGTTTGGGAGAAATGGTGATGCCCTGCTCTAGAACTGGCGGTGTAAGTGGGGATACACTCGAAGATGTCAGGTGGACCCCTCCGTCACTGTCTTTGGTTAAGATCAATGTTGATGCAGCTTAGAAGAAAGAGATGCTGCAGACTGGCATTAGTATTGTGGCACATAATGACAGAGGTGTTTTTATTGGTGATGATGCACGGTATCTGTTACGATCTTCCATTGAAGAAGCTGAGGCTGAGGCTATTTTAGCTGGGGTCTTCTTGGCAAAGACGATCAATCTTATAAGTGTTATCATTGAAACTGATGCTAAATGTGTCATTGAGTGTGTTCCCAAGAGGAACCACTACTGGAAACTGGAGACTTTATCCTATATTGAAGGAAATTTGGAGACATGCATTGTTTCTCTACTATCCAATGGCAGTGGATGTCGAGAAGAGCAAATGACGCAGCGCATGTTGCTGCTGGTTTAGCCAATGTGAGCCATCAAGTTTTTGGGGGGAATTTGCATTTGTTAACTATATCTCTACCTTCGTATTTCTAGTGTACATATTGCTTATTGGTATACTTGGCTTGTCTGGCACTAAGTTATTCTATGAACAAATTCAATGTCTTACACTCAAATTTATAGCAAGGAAAGTGATAGCAATGGAAGCACACAATTGCAAAATGGTGATGCCAAACGCTTGCCTTTTGAATTAGACCCAGATGGTGATGGCCAAGGAAAATACAAACTGAGGAAAGGGTTGTCAATTACACTTGTACGTATCACAGTTACACTTGTACATTCTTGTTTATGAATCTTATCAATATAATGCGATTATACTTGTTCTCTTTGGAACACAGTAAGCATCAAAAGTTCATACAAGAAGACCACCGGCCTTCGAAACTCCTAGCCAATGAAGTCAGTTGATACTATAAGAATCAATACTCTAGTATCTACATACGATGACTGTCTTCTATAAAGGAAAAATGAGGAGAGTTCTGTGTATCTACCACGCATCCTTGTCCAAATCATTGAAATAAGGGTGATTCAAAGTGCTTTGCACCGTCAATCTTCTTCGTGGATTGTATACCATCATAGCCTGTGAAAACAAAAACAATAATTAAATTAACAAACTAAGTTCACCAACTTAAATCTATCAACAAACTAATTAACAAAAACTCTAGAGTTACCTTTATTAAGTCTGCTCCCAATGGATCCATACGTCCATGCTGTAAGAGACGTATGCGCAATCTTGTTTGGTTCGTATTCCTTTCCCGACGCAAAGCACTGAAGTAATTAGAAAATTATTAGTTGTGAGATCCAAGTATATAATTGCAAATTAAAATTACTTTAAAAAAAAAAAAAAAAAACTCACTACTTCACTTGATCTAGAAGAATCCAGGTTGCATCATCATCATTACAAACGAACAACGAGCAGTTCAGAACCACCTCAGCTGCGCACAAAAATAAATAAATAATTAATTTAAAAAAATATGAACACCCTGCCTACCCTTGCGACAGTCGTTTTTTCTTTGCGCACCCACCCCCAAAACCCCAATTGAACTTGGCCTAAAAATTTGCAGAAACCCAATTGAGAATAGAAACACCAAGTGGACAAAGATAAGTACTGACCAATTCCTAGCCCTTGCACAACCCAGTTCAGAAATAGCAGATTGGAACAGAGCCCATGAGCAGAAACAGAAACATAAAGAAATTGATATCATGAGCAAGATAAAACCCAATTCGTAATTACAAAACACACCAATTCCACAAAAGAATAAAGAAAAGCAAGGGCAAGATAAAACAAATAACCGAGCCAATGAAGAGAAAGACACATACCCATGATACATGCCAAGCACCAAATGTCAGAACAAGAATTTTGTGCACCATATTGGAGGCATAGTTCTGGAGCCTTGTACCGGAGTGGGGTAATGATTTCCTTGTCATCAAAGGTTTTGCTCATCACCATGCCAGAGATCCCATCTACCTTTATTGTATCTTCATTAAAATACACATTTTCAGGGTTCAACTGAAACAGCATTTCTTGGCAATGTAGACTCTCCAGCGTCTTCAAAAATTGATAGAACAGAGATTTAATCCGCCGCACTTCCACAACAGCTACGCTTAGTGGAAACATGCCAGTTGGAATGTTTTCTATCACCAAGCGGTGTAATTGGTCGTCCATCTTCTTATACTCAATCAATTGCACAAGATAGCGACAATCCCACAGCTCTTGAAAAAGATACACCTCTTTATAAAATCTGAATCGTTTTGCTCTCTCACGATCCTTTTCTTCATAAACCTTTATTCTTACTTTCTCGCCCGTCATGATATTTTTTGCACCGTACATCACCCCGTAACTGGAAAAGCGAATGGGTTCACGAACATCTCTCTCTAAGAACAGATACCTGGAGCTACCGGATGCCATGGCTACCTCTGGTGGTCAGAGAAGAGGTTTTTTCTTGAAAATTTATGTTTCTTGGAGTGGGATTTTCTTGGAGAAGAAGATGGAGGACGTTCTTGGAGAAGGAAAATGGAGGACTTTCTTGGAGGAGGAAAAGGGAGTGATTTCTTGGAGAAGGAAAATGGAGGACGATCTTGGAGAAGGAAGAGGGAAATGCTGTGTGTTTCTTCGAGTGGGATTTGCTTGAAGAAAGAAGAGGGAAGCTATGAGTTTTACTAACCATTATTAACCTTGGAAATTTATATATACTCAAGTACAAAGTAACGACGTCGTTTGGAATAAATTAAAAATAATAATAATAATAATAACACAAGCGCGGGCTGCTCGCTGTTTGAGGTTTGATGGGCCTCCTTTTTAACATTCAGGCCTAATGCAATATAATTATTTATACCTGAATCCAGAAATACAGAGCCTTAGCTAGATTTTTTTGTTTCTAAATTATGGTCCCTTGAGATTTATATAAAATAGCTTTTCAACTAAATTATATACAATATTGTTCCACATATCCTTAATCAAGATGACACTTTATAAATCATTAGGGTTAATCAGCAATCGGAAAATGAATTAGGGGAAAACTAGAAGATAATTAATTGCATGTGTTAATGGTTAATTGCATTAGTAAAGATAGGTACATTACTGTTCATACACTTTATTTTATTTCTCATTCACTCTCCTCCTCGGATAAGAAATCCGTGTATCCCTCCCACGTGGTTAATATGGTTTCTGAGCCAGAAACACATGCTGCCTCCGTCTGTGTTCTCAAGTAAACAAAATCTCTCCCATTTGATTCTTCAGCCTTAGTAAGGTTCTCATCAGTTTCTTGAGACATGGGGCATTCAGTAACACCTTCTTGTTCTTTTTGCGGTTCAACCAAATCTCCATAATTCTTTAGAGAAATCATGCTGTCAGTACAACCAAAAACTTCCATAGTATACATTGGACCTTTGAGTCGTACATTCTTCATGGAAATACGTGTTAGATCCACAAATAATATACTGCTATTGTCCTTTTTCTTCTGGTTGAAAAATATGCCGTGCTCCCATTCGCCACACTCAGAGAGACAAAGATTCCCAAGAGGAAGAGAAAGAAGATATTGTCCTACATCTATTTTGTAATTTAGCACCCATTCTTTGTTACCATAATTATTTTTCAATGCCCATATGTTCATATATTTATCTTCTGATGAAGAAAATTCCACTAGGGCCAAAGATCCTTTGAAATTAAGCACGTGAAGAAAATTCCAAAGACTCGGCTTTTTCTCTAAGGCGGCAGGATGAGGAGTCCAATAGAACTCTCTTTCTTGAAGTCGAAAGAAAGTATACGTATAGACGAGGCATATAAGTCTTTTGTATCTCCATTAACCAACCAATGCATGTCTCCATCTGCAGATGCCGACTTGCCAGTTACATAGCAGGGAGGAACTACGGGTAACTCCCGCCATGAGCTTGTCCCCAATACAAGCACTTCGGTCGTCAGTTCGCTTAGTTGGCCCTTTTTGTACTTATGATGGTATGAAATACGAACAATCTTGTAGGTGTTTGTTTTATTATCAAATCCCATGCCGTAAGAATCTTGTCGACAGACAGTGTTGGCTGAAACTTGAAGTATGTCACTCGTTGTTGGGAGCATTAGAATTTCTCCCTTGAAAGGATCCAACAACAAGCATGTGTTTCCATTCTTATAATCAACACCATGGCAAGTAAAGCCTAACAAGTTGCAGAAAATAAAATTGTGCACATACAAACACTGTCTGGTCCAGAATTCGGAAATAATTGCATGTTTACTCTTTGTCAATAACTCATTGCCATCATATTTTATTGGGTGCATCCTGCAGTGGGGTGAGTCAGTACGAAGAACCAGTCGAGGAACTTCAACGGTGGTACAACTAGTAAGAAAACGACGCCGCATGTGTTGTATGGCAAAAAAAGGGTCGTCAACCGTCTTTAACAAGGCCTTGGATACACATTTGATGCAACAAATCGAATTTACGGGTAGTCTCGAAAAGATGTCAATAAGAATTTCCATGGGTAGGACGTCTGTCATCAAGTTCAACTTTGGCTTCTTCTGCTTCTTGTTCTCGTTGTTGTAGTTGTTGTGCCTCATTCTCTTCATTCTCTTCAACAAAGTATGTGAAATGTTGGAGTTTAATCAATTGTAGGGACTGGATGATGTTGTGCCTTATGTCTTCAATTGCTTATACGGCCCTCCTATTTATATAGGAGTACAAGTAGTCAAATAGATATCTCCCAGGTTTTTAATTCAAGTTCCTAAACCCTATGAGGTTAGGAATTAAAATTAATGCATATTTCTAATTACTTATCCTAATTAAGCTATATTTTGATCGTGCCCCAACTTAATATAACCATTTGAAGTACTAACAACTGTAGTACATATGATCCTAATTAATTACAATGGGTTTTATCATTCCCATACGCTATTTAGTTGGAAAGAAGAAAGGAATCCAAATCCAAGTAGCTAGAAAGTCTGGAGCTTCAGAAGGTTTAGTTGTCAAGAAAACACAATCCTTATTCTTATTGAATTAGAGAACCTAGTTAATACATAACACTGTTAACCTCTCTCTCTTATAGCTCTCCGTATTCTAATTGCGTACGTGTTTTAACATTTAGTGGGTGACTTGTGAAGAACTTATCAAGGAAGAATTCAACATTTGGTGGGTGACTTCGTCCTTTAAAGTTGACGCCTCGATAATATATATAGGATAATGTTAGGCTAATCATATTTTTATACCACATTGTGTACCACATCTCTAATAGAAGTGGAGACCACCAATACAATGGAATCCACCTCTATTAGAGAGGTGATAAACATTGTGGTATAAAAACATTGTAAGCCTAATATTTTCCATATACATATATATGTACATTCTTATTTATTTTATTTCACGTAAAATTACATTAATTTATACTGAAGTTTTGACTTCTTTTTCCCCATGTTTTAAACATGCATGCATGCATGGTTATATTTTCAAGAAAGCTGGCCCCGCCGGCCGGACGGTTGGTGCACAAGATAACTCTCTTTTTTGCCTTTCCGGATAAATGACCATTTCCCGACTGATGGGCATTCGATAAGATGGTGATCACGGATTACAAACATCATACCAAATTATACCAAAAAATTGTATAAGCCTCCTCTTTTTCAAGTTGTTTCTTCTTTTTCTTTTTCTTTTTAATTTCGTTTACCCTTTGATTAATTTCAAACCACTGGCACTTTGACCTTATTGTTATATCATATAAGAATAGCAACTCTTCATTTCTCTTTCAGCTTTTTCACCTTTCCTTTTTCACACATCAAAGGGTCACTTGATAAAATTAATGCAATTAGCATATCTAATTGTGTTATTTTAATACTTGATTTGTCTATGTATCCTATTGAACACGGATTATGATGTTAATTACCCCTTACGTAAGCCTCAATCACTTTATGTTTTTTAACCACACATTGATACCTAAATTTTTATAACTTTTTTTTACTGTGAATAGATAAGAACTTGTAGAGCATATATTCCCGACAAAAACATCTTGAAAAAAAAAATTACCAATTGATTTTGTACTCACTTTACATTATGCAATTAGATGTAAGGAGAATCTTGTAAAGAAGTTTTTGAAATCGACTTCAATCAACTTTCCTTGACAACTACTATTAAAATTCCACGAAAATGAAATATTTTTGCATATTTGAAAAGGAGCAATTGAACCAGATTCTGTGACAAAGTAGCTACGTTGACAAAGTAGCTGTCACTGATTGGCAGATCTCAAAATGGTTTTTATTTCCGATCCCTTGCCTGAATTGGTGGTGGACTGTGTAGCACCGACGACACTCCATTAGGTTGAAGTGTCAGAGTATTTGGCATGCGGACATGCAGACACGCTTTGGATACGGTTTGGATCAACGGTCAAGATACTTTTTGGACACGGTCAACTGAAGTCAAGACACAACATGGACCATTTTTAAAATTTTAAAACAAAAGCTGGGTTCAAAACATAATTATTGAAACAGTTGTGGGCATATTTGAAATAGTTTTTAAAAGTAGGCTTTTCTTCTCTCCCAACCAGCCGCATCTTTCATGAAAAAAAACCCAGCTTTTCTTCCCTCCCTAATCTGATTTATTTATTTTTATTTATTTTTCTCAGTTTTATCATATTTATGGCTTCAATTTTTTGTTTAAATATTTTTATTTTCTTTTTTCCTTTGGTTGGCTAAATTGATAACAATTTGGTAGTGCGAGAAGCATCTTTTTTAGTGCGTAATTCATTCACTTTGTTTCTTTTTTCTTTTTTTCTTTTTTTCTTTTTTATGCTAAGCCAATTCTTATTTTATGAGGTGGGACATCGTTTTATGTGTGAATATGTATAGTGCTTTATTTTGTTTAGGGAATGGTGAGTAATGCTAATTCAAATGAGTCCTCCTTTCATACTTAAACATATTTTGTGATGCATTAATTATGATATTAAAGTATTGAGTGTGAATTATTTTTAATATAAATATATGTTATTTTAATTTTATTAAAATTTATTATTATTTTAATTGTCTTGTCCTAGCTGTGTCCTTGTTTTAATTTTTCGAGATTTTTTGTGTTGCGGTGTCACGTTTTCTTGTCTGTGTCTGTGCAATATAGTAACGGACTCAAAATGTTGCATTAGAAAAACCTCTTTCCCAATTTTATTTTATTTAAAAAAAAAACATGTTTTTATGCATTTGAAAAACCTATTACGCTATAATACATGTTTTTATGTAGTAATATTACATCCTGAAATATAACTCATTATGTTAATTGATTATTTAGCGTGACGATGTTTAAGTACCATATAATAATTTATCATTGAGTAAAGATATATATTTTTTCTGGAATTAAAATGTATTAGAAGAGAACGTCTAGTTGTAAATAAAAAATAAGGTTGGCAAGAACCTTGAAAGCCCAAAGTTTACGAAAAGTGGTCGGGCTCAATTCTTGTTGGTCCATCTCATTACAAAGCAGTTAGTAGAAGCCCATAGAACCCTTCTGATCAGAAAAAGAAATATGGCCCACGTAGTTAGCCTACCTAACTAATACTTTTTGTTTCTTCAAGATTTATCCCTCTTATATAGTTCCTTGACCCCAAATGAAAAACATCCTCCCTGTGTAAGAAGGGCATTGCTATTTGTACCACTTTTATTGATCATATGTTGATCACGTTTCTAATACAGGTAGATTTCACATATGCTGATGTGGTCTATCTCTATTAGAGATGTGATCCGCAAAAGTGATCAGTTAAAGGTGATACAAATAGCATCATTGATATAAGAAATGCTTATTGACCAAACTAATCATTCACATTGCATTCAAGAGGGGTTCTGTGAAGTAAAAAATTGAAATCAACAAAATCAAGTGGATCCCTTTGTTGATGGGGTAGATTAATTAAGATAGATTGACAATGAACCGGATTATTAAAGAAATAAATACAATGAAACTTTCGTTGGGAGAAGGGGGTGTTTCTGTTTGAGGACGGGTAGATAAAATATAAAGATACTTGTTGGGGTGAGGCAGTCCTTCTTCTCATCTACTCAGCTAACAACATATATTGTTTATTAATTGGTCAAATGATTGGTTGATTACATGTGTGGGAAAAAGAGCATTAATGTATATGTCTTGTCCAAAGTATTGCAAAGGGAAATTACAATAACCATCAATTGATGTTCTAACTCAATTAATTTTTCCTCCTTTTCATTTTTGTTAACTTCTAACTATACCCGTTATGTTTGTTTTTTGTTTGTTTATACAAGCGATGTTAAAAAAATGAGAATTCTATCAAGAACCTCGATCAAGTACTTGCATGATAATTCTCTTAAACAGTTGAGTTACAAGCCCTTAGATAAATGCTTTGAGAAAACCTGAAAATAATAAGTCATTCGAACTCCCTTCCATGCATCAAGGAAGTTAAAGCAATGTTTCGAAGAACAAAAAACACATGGACCCAATTATTATTGTACTAATTATCAATACATAAATGATGAGTTCTTTTCTATAATTGGATGCTTAAAGTTTTTCTCATTAACATTAACGGGGTTTACACTAATTAACTAATCAAAGAACACAAACAAAGGGAAAGTAGAAAAGTGTACCCATTTAAACCTAATGGTTTATCAAGAAAATATTCTAAATACTAAAAAAACCAATAAATCTACACTGATGAAGGAAAGATTTCATATTCATGGCCCTTTCATAATTCATACACAATGCAACAAATCGAGAAAAGAAACAACCCAAAAGATTGAAACATAAAATAAAATAAATAAAAAAAAAGAAAAAAAAAGGGGGCTCTAAATATATGATCTCAACATTACATTAATTATATATTATATCTACATGACCATACTTTTTTTCATGATGCCGACTCCTTCCAACTGCTAGACACACTCCACTGATCCGAACCCGGCGCCGATGAGTTCCCTCCGGTGCCGCACTTGGCCACCGTCCTCACACTCTCAATCAAAGCCTCAGTGCGAGCCTCCTGCGACAAAATCTCCGACAGCTGCTCCGGGCTTATTACAAGCTTTACCTTCCAAACCCCGCTACTATTGTACCTCGGAAACACTTCGGGGTCTGCCCTCTTCCTCAGCAACCCTTGGCTGTCGCACGACATGCGGTAGGGCGTAGAAACGGCGCCGTTGGGGTTTGCGTTGATGTTTTCGTGGTCTTTCGGGGTGGACTTGTAGGGGTTGAGAGGGAGGAGATAGTAGAGCTCTTTGGGATGAAGCTCTTCGTTGTGGAGGAGAGGTTGGGCGAAGAGGTCGCGGGATTTGAAGATGGCGTGGCCTGGGAACTCGGTGGTTATGGCGTTGGCTGTGATCGGGGCATAGAGCTCCATTATTCCCCCGCTGGAAGTCACCACCTTCACCATCTCCTCTGCCTCTCCAAACCCTTTGAACACACAATTTCCCATCTCATATGTGAAAGTGTATGGAAGGAGAAATTTTTGGGGATATAGGGTGTTTAATTTTTTCTGAGGGTTTTTAATTAATTAGGTCGACAGCCGACACAAGAATGCTTTAATTTCTTTACAATCCAAAAAGGCAAGCTTTTTTCTTGTAGGGACAATAGTTGGTGCTTAATTGGTCATTAATTAGTTTAATCAATACTATTTCATCACACAAAGAAACGAATCGTGTCGTTGAGTTGATGTGGCCCATATGGCTTTTTTAGTGGAAACAAAACTTGTATGTATATATTCGTTGGATTGATATTGAGGTACTTGTTGTGTTGCAATTGTTGGCATGCGAGGGTCAACGTTTGGGGAGAATTTTGACAAATTGACCATCTTGGTGGTGTATTAACTCATGGTGAAGCCCAGCCTGTGTACTGTAGACTCTATACCTCTTGATCTTCACTTTTATCATTTGGATCCCACGTTGGGAGGCCGCAGACCCTACGCCAGTTTATCATATGCTAGCCTGAAGACGACATCGTTGTGCGATGAACAGTTTCCAAATCGACGGGGTCTAACTTTGATTTGCAAACCCACAGCCTAACGTTCGAACCCCAATAACATATTGGCAATGTGTGAGAAAACCCCACCTCCTCTTCCTAATTAGTAAAAAATAAACAAAAATAAAAAAATTCATGCATTCTGACTTATAGCATAAAAACTTATATGAAACGGAAATAACACTGTTTTGTTATTTTCGACTAATCACGCTATACCAAGTAAAAAAGTTATCACGCGTGGCATAACGTAACTGACCAGAAGCAGCAAAACAGTATTATTCCCGTTACACACAAGTGTTTCTCCTTACTGAACCGTTAGAGTACATTTGGTCAGCAGCAAATGTAATTGGTGGCATTAACTTCTCATCTGTTTCTTTGATTCGACATGTGATGTGAGTCGAAGAGTTGATCCAGTTAGATAGAAGGCTTTTTTCGTCCACCACCATGCACATACACAGCTTTCGGTTTTCACTCAATTGCATTTTGAAATTTGGTTTTCCTTGGTGATGATTGCATTATAACTTTTAAGTGGTTTGGTATTCTAAGCAAGCAGCCAAAAAGAAAGTGGAATGGGAGTTTTGGCCAAAAACTTAAGGTGAGAATTCTGTTAATTTGGGATTCAATTTCAGCACAAGATGCCTATACTTAAAATGCTAGCTAGGGGGGGGGGGGGGGGGTGAGAAAGACATCATTTCCTACAAAGGGTGGTGTTTTTTAGTGACAATAACAACAACAAAGAAAACACTCATTATGCCCCTCTTTTAGCTGAGCTGTGATTGCACCTAGCTAGCTAAGCTCACTTTACTCTGCTCAGCACGGGTTACCCAATTCAAAGGATCTCAGACAGAACTCAAACATGAATTCATGTGGGCTTGCATAATATATGTAGCAAGTGGAGACCTTGCCTGCCCAGGTGACTTTGAAGAGGCAGTAATTTCAATTTTGAAACAAGGGATCATTACATGGCCATCAAATGACTTTTTATGCAGATAACGGCATGGTAATGATTTAACCTAGGGGTGGCAAAATACTTTAAATATTTTGAAGTTTCAAAGCGTGGATTGGGATGATTTACCCAAGTTATATTTGTTTTCACCTTTTATTTATTTATTTATTTTAAATGAATTATACTGGTTAATCTTTAACTTGTGGCTGTCCTATACATTAAAATCATAAATAGAAAGGGAATAGACCTCTAACTCAACAAAACAAAACAAAAATAAGACGAAAAGATTGGTATATATATCTTAGAAATTTCCTCCAACCATTATTATTCAAGTACACTTAGACCTACTTCAGAAATTGTAACTTGTCATTTTGGTCTTCAACAGAGACTACAAATGCCAATTGGTATGGTATATGTTGATAAGATCGACCAAGACCATATGTTATACACTCAACAAATTGGCATTTTCTGTAGCCTATATTGAAGACCAACACGATATGCTATGATCTCTACTCAAAATATATAACCTCAATATGAAAATTGATTATGAATAACGGAGTGTTAGTTGGATTGATCCAAGTCTTTAGTGTATTTTTAAGTGATCTTGGATTCAAATTCTCGTGGTCCCCGTGTGTGTGAGTTTCCCCCCTTCCCCTTCCTAACTTTGGCAAAAAAATATAAAAATGAAAATTGATTTTGTCATAAAAAAAATTATTAAAATTGATTTCTTGTTTTGTTTTGTTAAAATGAAAGAGACATATTACAATGATTAACAAAAAAGTCAATGAATAATACGAGGATGATAACTACAATAAATCCCAATATAAAAAGACCAACACAGATTAATTAATTTCCAAGTCGTTGTTGTTGAAGAATATGAAGTCTCACATCGGAAACTTGACAAAATCAAATACATAATATAATGAATTGTTCAACTACTAATATTATTGATGTTGGTTGTAGTGAGATGCAAGTCCGTCTCTCTAAAATTTGAACATGGTATCAGAGCAGGTCAATTGACTGGGCCCTATTAAACCTGAATCAAACAAACCCCCAAAAATTAAGGGGGGTGTATTCAATTAGGATTATAGAGCGTTTACAAATATTTTGTTTAAGTGCCAACTTTCATAGAACTTGATGAAACTTTATAATTCGTATAGAACTTGATAGACTTTCAGAAGACTTCTGTATAACTTTTTAATAAAACTTTCTTAAGCTTTCATAGAACTTGATAGGCTTTTATTCCAAACTTATGTAGACAGTATATTTCATTTTATCTCCATCCTTGTCATTTAAAGAAAGAAACTTGAATTTTTTCAATCAAATTTGTTTTTGTTACCCAAAGCAAAAACAAAAAGTACTTGTTTGCGATGGAAGAACATATGCACAGTTCAAAATGAAAAGAATAATCCAAGAATGCTGTGTCAAATATGCACAGTACTTTTTGTATGCACAGTACCTATTTGACCATGAATGCTATGTCAAATATGCACAGTACCTATTTGCACAGTACTTTCAATGTTGTCAACGTATATAGTAACATTGGTGTATATAAATAAGATGAAATAAAATTTTAAACAACATGAAATAAAAAACCAAATTCATAACATCTTTTCCTTCAACAACATGAAATAAAATTATGTTTAACGAAAAGCAAAATTCATAAGAAATATAGTGACACCCAAACCCAGAGCTATGATGGAGAAGCAGTGAATATTTTTTGTATTCTCTTTCAAATTACTTCAGCCGACTCTAGTATTGAGAATAAGTTTTGTGACACCTAAGTTTTTCATTAATCTTGGGGAGTATTTTGGTTTCTACAGTTGCCTTACTTAGCATTCCATTAGCATCACGCCATCCACGGCTTGAAGCATTTACAGTTCAAGCATTATAATCTTGTTTGCTCTTCCCTTTTCCATTTACTTGTTGTGTATTTTCATATTCCATTTGAGTGCAGCTATGAATTTTATCATGTCAATCACAAAATACATCATAAAAAATACAAAAAATGTACATCAGCAACCATAGATCAGACATGACACATCTTATGTTAAAGGACGCAATATGAATTTGCAGATTTGGTGTCCGAACTCCTATTGGGGTGTATGACACCTTTCTGAAAAGGGAACGATGTCATGAGCCATACTCACAGCTTTGCTGTGGTATATGGTGAATTCTGGGCTTTTGAGGTCGTTTAGGCTTCCAAAACAGCATTTAAAAGTTGAAATTTTTGGATTTTCGTTTTTTTAATGTTCATCTATATTTGTCTTAGTTTTTTTGTTCGCTTATAGAAAGGTTGTCAATTATTTCAATTTTCTATCTAGTCATATATAGATATTTTAGAAGAAAAACAATAGTAGTAACAAGTATAAACCCTAGTAAACAAGCATAAACCTAATAACAAGAAAAACACGATGAATAAAAAATCATGGAAAAAGAAAACCCAACGAGGTATTGATCAAAGAAAAAATAGGGAGCATACCTTCACATATGGAGGATGGAAGCTGTTCGTCTTCGCAGAGAGAAAAGCTAGGGCAAGAGAAAAACGTCTGATGAAATACTTGGGGAGGAGGTTGGATTATTTTGGTCTTTGTTATTTATAACTCTTCCCTTAAAACCTACGAAAATTTATCACTTAATAAAATCCTTCCAAATATATGACCTTTCGAATACACCCAGATTTGATTCAACTTTTTTATAATCCTAATTGAATACACCCATATTTGAATGGACTTTTTAAAAGTTCATATAAGTCTGAATTGAATACACCCAGACTTGTAAAATCTCTTTTAAAGTTCGTATAAATTCAAATTGAATACACCCGGATTTTTAAAATCTTTTTAAACGCTTTATAATCCTAATTGAATACACCCATATTTGAATGGACTTTTTAAAAGTTCATATAAGTCTGAATTGAATACACCCAGATTTTTAAAATCTTTTTAAACGCTTTATAATCCTAATTGAATACACCCATATTTGAATGGACTTTTTAAAAGTTCATATAAGTCTGAATTGAATACACCCAGACTTGTAAAATCTCTTTTAAAGTTCGTATAAATTCAAATTGAATACACCCGGATTTTTAAAATCTTTTTAAACGCTTTATAATCCTAATTGAATACACCCATATTTGAATGGACTTTTTAAAAGTTCATATAAGTCTGAATTGAATACACCCAGACTTGTAAAATCTCTTTTAAAGTTCGTATAAATTCAAATTGAATACACCCGGATTTTTAAAATCTTTTTAAACGCTTTATAATCCTAATTGAATACACCCATATTTGAATGGACTTTTTAAAAGTTCATATAAGTCTGAATTGAATACACCCAGATTTTTAAAATCTTTTTAAACGCTTTATAATCCTAATTGAATACACCCATATTTGAATGGACTTTTTAAAAGTTCATATAAGTCTGAATTGAATACACCCAGACTTGTAAAATCTCTTTTAAAGTTCGTATAAATTCAAATTGAATACACCCAGATTTTTAAAATCTTTTTAAACGCTTTATAATCCTAATTGAATACACCCATATTTGAATGGACTTTTTAAAAGTTCA